GCAAGTGTCTCAAGTAACCCTAACATCCAGAATAGAAAATTACCCAGTGCTTTAATGAAAGAAAACTTATGAGAAGGCCCTTAACATTTCACTGAATTCTGGAAACAGAATCTCCACATTATATCATTTTATAGTAAGTCCTACTTAGTGTCATCAGTAAGTTCTTGGTCACAACTGAAACTTTATGCAAAAGGATATACAGCAGGTACTCAAATAACGTCGTCTCATTCAATGCCATTTTGCTACAACATTGATGAGGGAAAAAAATTGTTTTGCTTAAAGTCTTGCTTTCCAAGAACCCATCAACAATGTTAACTGAGGTGAGGAGTTCAAGACAAGCCTGGCCAAGATGGTGAAACCCCATCTCTACTAAAAATACAAAATTTAGCTGGGTGTGGTGGCAGGTGCCTGTAATCCCAGCTACTCAGGAGGCTGAGGCAGAGAACTGCTTGATCCTGGGAGGTGGAGGTTGCAGTGAGCCAAGATCACGCCACTGCACTCCAACCTGGGCGACAGAGCGAGACTCCGCCTCAAAAAAACAAAAGATAAAAAAATAAAAGAGTGATCACATGCTAGGGCTGTACTGGAATATCAAGGTCTTGGACTAATCTCTATGATCCATCTAATTCTACTGCCCTTTCATAATTCAATAATTACTAAATACTGCCAATATAGAGTTGCTAGTGGCTGCCAATATTGTTTGGCTAGTGACCCCAGCCTCGATCTTCAAAGTCTGTCTCTCCAACTGCTGCCTCATCATCACGTCACCTTCTTCCCCTCTGACCTTCCTGGATCCCTCATGGATGTATCCTTTTGGTTATATCAAGTACACCCAGGAAATTTGGGATATCTTCCTGCCACAGTCCCATGTGGGTAACATTTACAGGCTTCAGGGATAAGGAAGTGGACATCGTTGGGGGACCATTATCCAGGCTAACCTAGAACTATCCCACCATCAGCACACCTCTGAAACAAGGGCTATTGATCTGAGGTGTCCCTGGACACTACAGAACAGTAAAAGTCAGACAGTGGAGCAGAAAATTTTGGAGCTCAGCACAAAATGAAAAAAATTCCAATTTCTGATTTTGGTCAACTTATTATCTTTTTGGTCTCTTGGTCTCTCAGTTTGCTTATTCCTACAAGGGAAAGATTAAAAGGCATAAGTTACAAAAGGTCAATTCTAGTTCACACTCAGGCTCTGTGACATCCTACACCTTGTTATAAATAGAATGCAAAGAATGGGTAACAGCACTCCAGCCGAAGGACTGATAGCACACTCAGTGTTTAGAAGACACCAGGCTGCATAAGTGCTTAGACCCTGAGGCTGTTCTAAGTTATGAAGACCTTAGCCCCCAAATGGAGAATCCTCAAAATATTGAATGTATGGTTCTTTAGGGAAAAAACAACAGGATGTCACATGAAAGGAAAAGAAAACGGGTTCTCAAATCAAGTACCTGCTTCTTTTCTTCCTCTCTCTTTTTCTTCCTTCTTTCCTCTCTTTTCTTTTTTATTTTGTAAGGAAGATATCAGATTTGGGTATGGGCCCAGCACAAACTGGCAGCTGGAGTGAGGCAGGTTCCCACAAGAGGGCAAATAAGGCAAGAGGAAACACTAAATGAATGCTGTGTCATTGGATTGGAATTAGAGATGCCATGCGGAGTTGAACTCCTAGTTTTCTATTTATGGGTAGAAAGAGAAGCAAAAGTTGAGGTGAATCTTTTGCTTTATCCATGAGGGAACCTCAGAGCAGCAATATCCTGGTCACCATGAACATACTGAGCAGCCAGGACTTCTTGAAGAAATGGCTGATTCTAGAGCTATGCCTGAGAAAGAATGGCAATCCTGGAACATCGTGTTTTGTCAGAAAGCAGGAAAATGCCCAAAGAATGGAGGCATGAATTAAAAGGCACAGAGACCAGTGTGACGAACTTCCCACTGACTCAACCTGGTATGATTTGAGCCTCAAAGTAAATAGTGACCCTACTGAATTGTAGCTCATTGAGTAGAACAGAAGGCTATGAGTGGCTCTGCTATAAATAGGCCAATGGGGCAAAGAGAGAGTTCTTCTTTACTGGACAGTGCCAACTAAAACACACACAATGAATGATGGAATTAGAAAAACCACTCGGCAAATGCCATAGTAATAATTTTTAATTCTGGCAGGGAATATCAGAACATGCTGACACAGGTGGGCGAGAAAAGTGGAATTTAGAGAGTCTCAAAATATGTCCTCAAAAAAAAAAATAGAGAAAAGGAAATTAATTTAAGATTAAGTTAATCTTAATCTTAAGCCTGGCAGACACCACTTTCCACTTTACCTGGGATAAAAGATCTCCCCGCTAACCATGGGACAGATCAGCCTCTCACAGCAGGCTGGTAGGAGCAGTGAAACACAGCATCACTCCTGGAACATGGCAGCTAAAAATGCATAACCTGACCAATCACAGCAAAATAGGGCAAACCCATATCAAGGTGTATTGTGCAAAGTACGTGCTCTGGAATCTTCAAATATATTGAGGTCATGAAAGTCAAGGAAACTGAGGAATTCTTGTAGATCGACAGTGACTAAAAAGGCATGGAACTGAGTGCAGCTCGTGACCCTAGACCAGATCCTTTTGCTCTCAGGTACAAGAGGGGCACGATTGAAACTTAAATGGGCAAAGATTATACAAGAATTCTTTTTTCTCAAAAATTGTTCTAAAAAGAGTCAAGAAAAAAAAGAAAGAAAGAAAGAAATCAAGCCCTACATCTGAGGCCCAGGCTTTACCTCTTAATGCTGTGTAGGATGGGGCAGCTGAGTTCACGCACCCAAGGAGCTAGCCTCCAGAACCTCCCTGGCAAAGGTAAAAGGGAACCCACTAATCAGTATCTCGCAAAGCCACGAGAAAAGAAACTTCCCGTCTCATGCAGGCTCCCCAACCTTTCTAAAACATCACTAAACACTTCAAAATTATTTAAAAACGCGCCGCTAAAATTTACTATTTGCATTATGCCAGAAAGTTTTGTCTTGGCTTCAGAGATTGCTGCAAATATATTCCATATGCACAGCCAAGCTTTCTAGCTCTCCGTGGTCCCATCCCCCACAGAGTAAACGTTGTGACTTGCCAGCATGCTCCTTAGATCCAAGCAATGGAGTAGAAAGTACAAATGCCTTAATGAAACTGGTGACTACCACGATTCCATTTTAAGTCTCAATTTCAGTAGCTTGTAGGTAAAGTTGGAGATCAAAATTGATAGTAAATGAGTTGCAGTTTAGAAATGAAATACGCTTTTTAGCTAAAGAGCTATGCTGGAGAGTTAATTGGCAGGTCCCCTCACTCCTGTAAAGTCGTTAGGCACAATGCAGATGAAGGAAGGGAAAGCACGCTCAGTGCTACAGCAGCCATGCTAACTATGGATCAATAACAGACATAAGAAAGCAAGTCAATGCTCGCCAAGTGTGAAGAGACAAAATTGGTTGAGACAGACATTTTATAGCTTCTACCAAACAAAAGAAGGTTCTTCAAAAGCCCCTGATCTTTTTCCAATTTAAGATATCTTTCTCAAACAGCTCTAAATATACTGTTCATATTTTGTTAGATCTCATACATTGCATATATTCCAGATTCTTTGCCCATCGTTGCCCTTGGAGAGATGATTTCTTTTTTAGTATCTGTGTATGAGAGAGATGTGAGAAAGAGAGATATGTAAAATCCAGGAAATGAATATTTATTTAAGACCTATTATGTGCAAAGCACTCGGTAAATGTAGAAAGTAGAAATTACTGTAAGAAATGGAAGAAACACGTCCTACATCTCCAAAGTAATTGAACAGCTTGTTCTGTTGCTCCTCACTGACTAATGAGGATTTCTTGCTGTTCCGGGTGACTAACAGCAAGAACATGAATCTTGGATTTAAAAAATTGCAGAGGCGGGTTACATGGAAGAATTATTCTTTTCAGAAGGTAGTGGAGATAAAACTCCTCTGTACTTTGATTGGAGTGGTAGTTCCACAATTCTACACATTTGTCAAACTCATAGTGGATTTCACTGTAGAAATTTTACATATAAAGTAATAAATATATATTTTTTAAGAAAAGAGGGCAAAGAGGAGGAAGGAAGATTGAGAAATTTCCAAAAGGGATATGAAAGGGCAAAGGACAAATACAAATATTTTGTAAAAGGTGACTACTAAACAGAAATAAAGATATTTAAGGAATATAGGATAATATGATTTGGAACTGTGTCATCACCCAAATCTCATGTCAAATTGTAATCCCCAATGTCGACGGTAGGGCCTGGTGGGAGGTGACTGGACCATGGAGGTGGAGTTCTCATGAATAGTTTAGCAGCACCCTCCCTTGGTACTGAAGAGCGAGTGAGTGAGTTCTTGTGAGCTCTGGTTGTTTAACAGTGTGTGACACCTCCCCACTCTCTCACTCCTGCTTTTGCACGTAAGATGTCTGCTCCCTCTTTGCCTTCCACCTTCCACCCACGGCCTCCCCAGAGGAAGATACTGCCATGCTTCCTGTATAGCCTGCAGAACCGTGAGCCAATTAAACCTCTTTTCTTTATAAATTACCCCGTCTCAGGTATTTCTTTACAGCAATGTGAGAATGGACTAACACATAGCATAAAAAGAATTTTCAGAAGTTCTGCTACAATGCAAGGTATACTGTAACTTTAAAATACAGATGACAGGTTAAAATACAACAATGTTTAATCTGAAAATGCACCACAACGCATGTGTTTTGGATAGAAATGGGAGAAAAAATATTGATAAGTCCTCATATCTATGTCACAATCCAGCAATATGTAACCTGCACTCAGTGTTAATTGTATGATTTGACCTAAACAAAAACTGTGTGTGGAAGATAGGGAAGACAATCCTATTGAAGAGATGAGAAAAATGAACTTAACAAAGAGCTCTTAAAACTCAACAATAAGAAAACAGCCCAATTTTTAAAAAATGGGCCAGAGACCAAAACAGATACCTCACTAAAGAATATATTCAAATGGCAAATAAGCATATGAAAAGTTGTTCCACATCATACGCCATCAGGAAAACGCAAATTAAAACAGCAGTGAGATACCTCTGCACACCTATTAGAATGGCTAAAATCCAGAACCCTAAAAGTACCAAATGTCGGCAAGAATACGGAACAATAGAAACTCTCATTTATTGCTAGTGGAAATGCAAGATGGTGCAGGTACTTTGGATGACAGTTTGACAGTTTCTTACACAACTAAGACACTGTTATCATATGATACGGCGACTGCAATCTTAGATATTTACTCAAGTAAGTTGAAAACTTATGTCTGCACAAAATTCTGCACACCGATATTTATGGCAGCTTTGTTCATAATTGCTAAAACTTGGGAGCAGCCAAGATGTCTTTCGGTAGGTGAATAGATAAAACACACATTCAGCCAATGGAGTATTATTTACTGTCACATGACATAAGCTATCAAACCGTGAAAAGACACAGAGAAAATTTAAATCCATGTTACTAAAATAAAAAAGCCAAATTGAAAAGGCTACCAGGGTTGTATGATTCCCAATTCTGCAACATTCTGGAAAAGGTAAAACTACACTGAGAGCAAAAAGATCGGTGGTTGCCAGGGGCTGGGACTGGGGGCAGGGAGGAATGGCTAGGCAGAGCGCAAGAGAATTTTAGGGTAGTGAAACACTTCCGTATCATACTAAAATGGCAGCTACATGAAATTATACATTCACCCAAACCTGCAGAACGTACAACAGCAAGAGAGAAGCCTAATGTGCTGGGTGGTGATGTGTCCACGTCGGCTCATCAATTGTAACAAATAAGCCACTCTATGGGGATGCTGAGAGTGGGGGAGGCTGGGGGCATGGGAGGCAGAGGAACACAGGAATCCTTTGTGCATTCTGCTCAATTTTGCTGAGAATCTAAAACTGCTCTTTAAAAAGTTTTAAAATTAAATTAAAATACATGTGGTTCCAGCCTAAGTGATTCGTTCAGGTTGCCCCCAACAGGAAGCGAGGAAACATAAACGCAAGTGTCAATGTTCTTCCTTGATTCCCAGGCCCCTCCCATGGCAACCATGGGTTGAAGAAGATATAGGGCAGCAGGCCAGTTAGGAAATTCTAAACATGACTACAAGGTGCTGTGTTTGTTTTGAAGTGATTAAAAGATTGAGGCATATGAAAACAGGCATCTGGGACACAAATGTGTGTCATCATTTTGGGACTCTGTCATTTGATCCCATCACAGACCTTGAGGGTTATCCCCGTGGACCTAGTAATTGCACTTCTGGGAATCGGTTTATGGAGAAGCTGCGGACCCTGTTCTTCAGCCTTGTATCATCTCAATGGTAAAATAAAAACTCTGGAAACAACCAAAGTGCCTTAAAGCAGGGAGGGGAGGAGCTACATGATGCCACATTTATTGTAAAAGAAATTACATCACCATGAACATCATGATGGGAAAAATGAAAATTGTTCAAGATAAACATTGTGAAATGGGTAACTCCTGTTTAAAAATGGTATATGCAGTGAGATTTCAAGTCTGGTTTAGAATTCTGAGCATGGAAGGAGTGAAGTACAGCAAGCACTTCACAGGCCCAGGCTCTGTAGGGAGGAGAGTGGGGAAGGGGCAGACATCAGAAGGGGAAGCATGGACGCGGGTCTGGAAGAGGTGGGAGGCTGGGCCTGTGGCTGGTGGATGAGGGAGAAAAAGGGGCATCCTCTAACTCCCAAGACATAGCCAGGTTGTAGCTCTGGGTCTTGTCCACTGTGTGTGAGTGCCTGAAGGCGGCTTCGCTTGTTCCCGGGGCACTCCCGGGCTGGGGATCCTCCCAGGGTATCTCATGCAAGTCCCTGTCAAATGGAACTAATGGCATCTGTCTGTGTGTCATGCGCTGCACTAGGAGTTTCTTCCCTTCAATCTGATGTTGTGGTTCCTTCCATGATTCCCAACCTACAGGTGAGGGCACCAAAGTGGGAAGGTCATTCTGCAGAGAGAGAGCACCATGCATGGTCAAGTGTGCAGAGCACCCCCAGCCCGCCCTGCAGGCTCTATCCAGGCCCGGCTCCCTCAGCGCCCGAGGAGGTGCAGGAGGAAACGAGGAAATCTCAGTTTCTATTCCTAGGTGGAACCTATCAGACATGAAGTCCTCATATTGAAGACTGGTAGGAACACTGGTGGCCTCTGTGGCCACAGTGACAGTTCTTTAAGTTCCAACAGGTTGTAACTTTGTAGAGGCCTAAGTGGATGTTTACATTGATTTATCTAGTTTTTACTAAAATAACACTTATAAAGGAAATAGTGGCTTTAAAAGATTCTGTGGATAACATGAGTAATGCAAGCTCAGCAAACACGAAACAGTACAGCTGACAATCTTACTCCTGTGGGCTCTTCATTTTAGTCTCAGATGGACTGAATACTCAGACAGACCTGAAAATTGGGGAGAAAAGGATATAGGCAGGAAGGAAGAAGGGAAGCAAAAAAAGAGAGGTAGGGAAGGAAGGCAAAAAGGAAGGGAATTACTAAGAATAATAACGAAGTATCTTATTCACGTGTTCTATGGTTATGAATAAGCCTCTCCTTAAATGTACGTTTTACCTTGAGATATTATTTATTGGTCATATGTGCTACAATAATTAACAAAACATTTAAGGGCTAAGCATCTAACCAGGATATAAAGACTCTCCTCACCAGCTTTTTTTTCTATGATGTTTAAATTCATAAAATATTCAAGCGAAATGTTCCACAACATTTCATTCTGATTAATACTAAAAATTAAAAGTATTACCAAGCTCTTCTATTTTATCAGCAACAAGCAAAATGCCACTTATGTAAAAGAACACCACTCTTTGATGCATGTGTTTAATTGCAAATCAGTAAACATACATATATTGGGGGTGAACACTCATTATTTCACTAATAAGTGTGCTTGATCCATATTCCCACAGGGTCTTCCTTCCTGCCCTGAGAGTCTAGTGAGCTTATGAATATGTTCGATTTATCTATACAAGATGCCAGACAACTAGCACACAACCTCATTAACCCAGTGAATACAGAGACAGACATGAACATAACAAGTCTGGACTTTTTTTTTGACAATTTCTCTTTATAACCCAGAAAATATTTTTTTATTTTTCTTTTCCAAGTGACCCAGGATCACGAAACTACCCCTGGAAGCCGCACCTCCTTGTCTGTAGGGAAACTGACGCATACCAGCTGACAGCTCTCAGCTATCCAAATGATTAGCTTCTGATGTAATATTTGGACGTGCTATTCACATTTAAGAAGACAGTGACAATGGTGAGGCCTGACCTAGCTGCATTCAAGAATGGTGCTTCAGTCCGCAGCAGGCCTGTAAACCTACATCCTGACTCACGCAATCCAGGGAAAAGGGGCTTAGGAAATTCCTTTTCTTCTACATTGGCTCAGGGAAGACTGCTCTCTGCCAAAAATCCCTGGAAGAAAGGTGTCTTTTGTGGGTATAAATGTTATTTAATTCTGTAGTTACTCCAAAGTTATGGTAGCAACATCTCATGCAATCCCACTGTAAGTCAGAAAAGCCATTACCATTTTTGAGCAATTTGTTCCAGGCATTTAACCATTATTGTTACTCCTTGGAAAACTATGCGAACTGTTCTGATGTTTCCATTTTAAAGATCAAAAGCTGGTGCCAGGTACAGTGGCACACACCTATAGTCTCCACTATTTGGGAGGCTAAGGTGGGAGAATCACTTGAGCCCAGGAGTTCCAGATCAGCCTGAGCAACACAATGAAACCCTGTTCATTAAAAAAGAAAAAAAATTAATAAAAATAAAATGAAGAGTTAAAAAACTGAGACTCACAAAAGCTGAGGCATTTATTCAAGTTTCTAGAGCTCAGGAGGGACAAAGATTTGAATTAAGAACTGTCTGGTGTGAGATGGTATCTCAATGTGTCAATCATTAAAAAATCTGGAGACAACAGATGCTGGAGAGGATGTGGAGAAATAGAAACACTTTTACACTGTTGGTGGGAGTGCAAATTAGTGCAACCATTGTGGAAGACAGTGTGGTGATTCCTCAAGGACCTAGAAATAGATATACCATTTGACCCAGCAATCCCATTACTGGGTATATACCCAAAGGATTATAAATCATTCTATTATAAATACACATGCACGTGTGTTTATAATACACGTTCATTGTGGCACTGTTTGCAATAGCAAAGATCTGGAACCAACCCAAATGTCCACCAACGATAGACTGGATAAAGAAAATGTGGCACATATACACCATGGAATATTACACAGCCATAAAAAATGATGAGTTTGTGTCCTTCAGAGGGACATGGATGAATCTGGAAACCATCATTCTCAGCAAACTGACACAAGAACAGAAAACCAAACACCACATATTATTACTCGTAGGTGGGTGTTGAACAGTTAGAACACGAGGACACAGGGAGGGGGGCATCATATACTGTGGTCAGTCATGGGGGTGGGCTAGTGGGGTGTGGGGATGGTGGGGAGGGATAACATGGGGAGAAATACCGATATAGGTGATGGGAGGATGAAGGCAGCAAACCACCTTGCCATGTATGTACCTATGCAACAATCCTGCATGATCTGCACATGTACCCCAGAACCTAAAGTACAATTAAGAAAAAAAAAGAACTGTCTGGGGCACAGTTTATGCCCTTTCCACTGTAACATGCCACTCCCAGAAGCTAGATGAATCTTTAGAAGGGTCCTGCACATTGTTCACTTTGAATACATTTATTAAGCAACCACGAGTGCCAGCAACTGTCCTGGGCACTGCTGGTATGGAGGTGGGCAGACAAGATACAAGCACTCACAGATCTCAACTTCCATGGGAGATACAGAGATGCATGCATAACAAGTTTGGAGAAGTGTCGTGAAGAGAAGCTTCAGAGTACAGTGAGGGCGGGTGGGGGGAACACAGAAGAGAACTGATGCTGAGGAATCTGGGAATCTGCTGCAGAGGCACCATTCGTGTCGAGACTTGAAGAATGAAAATAGGAGACAGCCAGACAAGAAAAGATGCAGTGACCACATCCTTTGGCTTTAGAAAACAGCTCATACTCGGCATGCGTGTTTATGGGGCTGCTTTTTGCTTGTCTCTTGCACTGTAATGTGCTCTATTAAAACGCAGTAGGAACTGATGGACTCCAGTCCTGATGACGAATGGAATACAGGACATCAACTAAGAAGGCATGGGCTCATTTACAGACTACAACTAACTATGAGAAACCCTAGGTCTAAGTATAGCTCACCATTTATGACCTTCATGATTTGGGGTAAAGAAATGAGCCTATGTGAGCCTCAGCTTACTCAACCCTAAAATAGGAATAGTAACTTACAAATCTTTGGGAGAACCAAATGCATTCTATGTATAAAAGCTTTTGTAATGTTACTTTTCTATGTGTCACAATCTTTTATGACTATTTATTATAGAGAAAACTTGTGATGGCTGCAATCTACTTGGGACCACACTGATTTATCACAAAAAAGATTGCCTTTCCTCCTGCATCACTAATCCAAGGAATCAGTTCCAACAAACAACTGAATGTTCAGACTTTGACTTTTGCAGATTTTTTAAAATTTTAACTTGCAGCATTTGATTTTTTTTAAATCTGCAACATTTTATGTAAATAATAGCAATGTAAATTTAAGCTCAAATACTGCCCACACAGAGAGCCAACGTCAAAAACCCCAAACAAAGCTTGCCTTAGGTTGGGTCACACAACACAGTAACATACACCTGGAGGAAATGCCTAATTCTGCCTGTTATTGAGTGTACTCCATGAAGAACCCACGCAGAGTGGTCTCATCCACCTCAGACCCAGTAGAGAAAAGGTTGGACTTGGGGGATGGGAGCTCACCAGACATCTGTACTGTTCCCATACTAAACCCTCTCACATCACGGAGACCCAGCATGGGGCCAGAGGCTCCCAAATAGAAGCAGAAAGACGAGGGCACCTCTACATGAAGAATTACAACCAGTAATCATCCACTATTAACAACTGTTTAAACACCGAATTATTCTGGATTAAAGACACCAAGCTTCTCAACTATAAGCGTGCTAAAAGAATGCCATTTCAGTTAAACAACAACCATCACCTGTCAGGCGTGTTAAGTTCAGTTACTATTAGTAGCATAACATCTACTACGCTACTAACCAGAACTTAAACGTAAATAAAAGTGCGCATCTTCTCCACCTTATCTCCTTTGCCACATCTCTTCCTTTAATGTGGAATGGCCAAAAAAGCATAAATAATTAAAGCACGCTTCAGTTTTTTCAGTACCTCTTCTAAGGTGGTGTCTGAGATCCCATAGCCTGTCAGGTGCAGCTGACACAGGTTCTCATCCAGGGCCTGAAAGAGCCCTTTGAAGCAGGCCTTGTCTGTGTCCTTTGGAATGGTGTAAGTCAGCTCACTTCCACTGCTGTCTTTGAGAAACGCTTGTGAAATATACATCTTGATCAGGGATGTAACACGAGCTATGTCTTTCAGATCATGGGCCTCCAGAACAGAAGGCTATCCACCAAAGGAAGGAAAAAAGAAACCGGTAAGGAATGTCAATTCAAATTTACATCAATTCATGTCATGTAGATCCATAAGCAAATTATATCAAAACTCCCTTTCAAAGCTTAAGTCAAATATCACATTTAAGCAATAGGCATTACAATGATATCTTGTACATTTTTGTTTCTTTTTAAAAATTTAAATCTGATACATGCCCCCTAACATGCCCATTTTGGCTACCAGGCATGCCATGGCCAGCCTCCTGGGGTTTGTATTCATGAAGTGCCCCCTATCCCCTGCCAGAGTCACAAAGAGGTCCTGGGCCTAACATTGAACAGCAGGAAACTGGGTTGAGTCTTCTTAAAAGGGAGACAAGAATTCTCAGCCAAAGAAGAAAGGATCCACCTGGGGATGGTGATATTCCCACTGAATTGGAGAGGAAGCAAACAGGAACCTTGGCTCAGAGCTGGGGGCAGACTTTTCGTGGGCCACCAAGGGCCAAATACAGTCATCAAGAGTGGAGAGGTGACTTCCCACACACCCGAACCCCAGCCCAAGAGTCACCACTGCCTGACCTCCACTGACACAGGTAATGATGACTACAGGTGTGACACAGGTTCAGCCTCTCAGGCCAGACTCCACTCGCTCTATCCCCTCCCTACTCTTCTGCATTCTGACAAAGCTTTAGCCTCTAAGAGGGAATAAATATCTTTGTCAGAAAAATATTTCCAGGCCAGGCACGGTGGCTCACGCCTATAATTCCAGCATTTTGGGAGGCCAAGGCGAGTGGATCACCTGAGGTCAGGAGTTTGAGACCAGCCTGGCCAACATGATGAAACCCCATCTCTACTGAAAAACACAAAAATTAGCCAGGTGTGGCGTCATGTGCCTGTAATCTCAGCTACTCAGGAGGTTGAAGCAGAAGAACTGCTTGAAACTGGCAGGCAGAGGTTGCAGTGAATAGAGATTGTGCCACTGCACTCCAGCCTGGGCAATGGAGTGAGACTCCATCTTGAAAAGAAAGAAGGAATAAAGGAAGAGAGAAAGAGAGACAGAAAGAAAGAAAGGGAGAGAAAAAGACGAGAGAGAGAGAAAGAGAAAGAAAGAGAAAGGAAGAAAAAGAAAAGAAAGGAAAAGAAAAGAAAAGAGAGAGAGAGAAGGAGGGAAAAATATTTGCAGAATACCTAGGTCATGTACTTCCTGGCCCTGACACTCAGAGCAGCTCCTGTACCTATCAGGTAATTCTGACCCCTCACGTATTTTCTCCTAGTGGTCAAATGCATGCTTGGGTTCCCAGAGGCTTGCTCCCTGCACAGGCCTGGGGGCACTCATTTTGGCCTGTGGGCCATTGTGCACAGAAAGCCTCTACTGAGTTGTTATTACTGTGTAACTGTCGCCACTTGTTTCCTATGCCACAGGTGGGAATGGGACTTCAGTGAGATGGAATGGTTGCATTCCTTACCTGCCTTGTGAGCGTCAGGCAGAGCCCCTGGCCATACGCCTCCTTCAGGCAAAAGGGAGGACCACAGCACCTGAGCCTCCCATGCTGGAGGACGGCCACGCAGTCACTCAGCACTTCGGCTTCGTCCAGGTGGTGGGTTGTGAAGATGATCGTGCGACCTGGGTTCAAGCATAGGGTGCATCAGGACCAGCAGAACAGATACCCCAGAAGGACCTTCCCTCCTTTCCTCAGGATGGTAGATCCAGGGACAATTTAAAGATCCTTACCAATTTCAAAAAAAAAAATTAAAATGTGTCCAGCAGGAAGGACTTACTCAAGGCCACTTGGCCAGTTTGAGGCTCTGAAACTCTTTCCTCTAGAGTTGTTTCCACGGATCTCCCACCCCCACCCCCATGAACCAAAGTGGGTGCTCTGCCAGGCATGGAGGGTAAAACTGAGGGCAAAACACAGAGTACGTGTACATAGCCCCCTGTTCTCTCCTACTTAGAGGCAGATCACTGAATGAACAGAGACAAGAAATTAAAAAAAAAAAAAAAAAAAGCAGGGTGGGCATCTCTCTCCTCAGATACTAAAGTCCTCATTCTTTTTTTTTTTTCCATAGGGAATCTTGCTCTGTCACTCACGGTGGAGTGTGCAGTGGCATGATCTTGGCTCACTGCAACCTCCACCTCCCGGGTTCAAGTGATTCTCCCACAGCAGCCTCCCAAGTAGCTGGGACTACAGGTGCATGCCACCACGACTGGCTAATTTTATTTTTCTGTGTTTTCAGTAGACACAAGATTTCATGATGATGGCCAGGCTGCTGTTGAACTCCTGACCTCCAGTGGTCCACCCACCTCAGCCTCCCAAACTGTTCGGATTACAGGCATGAGCCACCATGCCCGGCCCTCCTCATTTTCCTTTGGATGATAAGGGAGATGTATGCAGGGAGAAGGCTATATTTTATGCAATTGCTATCTAATAAAAAAATCACAGCACTGAGTCAAGGCAGAAATCAATCACAA